TATGATTCAGAAGTTGTTTCTAGCACAATCTGGCTTCTCTGTTTTTGTGTATATTTAGACTTTTAGTGAGGTATTTTGAGTATGATAAAAGATACTATTTCCTAATTTGTGCCTTTGTTATTGCTATAAAAATATGCATAGTACTTCTGAGTCTATGTACTGTTTTATATATTTAATAATATTATCTTCTCACCACAACATTATTGTATTATTTTATTTATTAAGGTTAATTGAATTACATAATTACATAATAAGATGCCGCATTCGCAGCCGCGCGACATTTTATTATGACATCTTATTATCTCATTCCGACTTTGGACAAACTAGCAGGCTACCGAATGTAGCCTGCCTACACGGCAGAGTCGGGCAAACTCCCCGTGGCATACCCAATATGCCAAATACCAGTAACAATGATGGGTCTCATTCTCCTAAAGAGCCTTGAATATAATCTCAGGGCTAGGATGAAGGAGACGTTACTGGGGCCTGCTCGAGGCAATCGACGAATAACAGGATGATTTGTGATTTGTGATTTGTGAAGTGAATTACAATAAAATCATTGGTTGTGGGATACCTTTTCAGATGACAAAATTGAGATATAGTGGTCAAATATTGCCCCAGAGTCTATAGTTAGAAAGGGCAGGCCAGTCAGGAACCATCTGGGTCCACTAGAATAGGCTGCCTGTCACCATCACAATCCTGAAGGTGATAAAGGACTTTACTAATTGTCTTCCCTAATAAGAATTGATTGGTGGCACTTTTCCATTTGCTTTCCTATGCAGTAACCCTATTCCACATAGGAAAATAAGACAAACTCTGGGATTTACTGTTGCTACATACTGTGGCATTCATAATCATAGATTGCTTCATGTCTTCACAGCACACTTAGATAGAAGTTACCATTCAATTCAGCATAAACTGTATTTAATGTTGCATTATGAAATGCATTTAATACAAATGCAGGCATGTATTAATATAATACATTAATAAGGCATGTATTAATATAATAATATAATACAATGCAAACTGACAATTAGTCTTTAGTAGGAAGTTCATCACTGAGAAGAGGGAGGAGAGGGGATGATGATAGGGGCAGAATTTATTGGGACACTGGAGAGGGACATTGTTAACCATAGGATATAAAATAAAAATTTTAAAATTCAAAAAACAAATGCAAATGTGAAGTGTACTATATTGAGCCAGGTAGTTTCCCATGAACTACTTAAATCCCATAAATAAACTGCTCTTTGTGAATCAAACCTTTAGAGATGAGGATCTAAACTCTCTAGTAGGGTTCATTTGTTTCCTAGCATATTTGTCATGTATCTGTCTACTTTTAATCAAGGAGATCTGTAAGACAATTGAGTTCCCTGGGTCAAAGTAAGTATATTTCCAGAAGAATGGTTTTTTTTTTCTGGAATTCTCCAGCAATGATTAACATGAAGATTTACTATATCTATCTCAAACTGAGTTCTGCCCATGCCCTGTTGCAGCAACCTTATGTTAAATATGTGAGCCAGGGACTGATTTTTTTTATACTAAAACAGGTTTGCTTAAGCCTGGCATTCCAAGTTTAATGCAGCAAATTTCAGGACAAAATTTAGTTTGAAACAAATAGCTGAATAATTTAAGTCAAGAGGTTGATTTAACTTGAACAAAAAAAAAGAAAAGAAAAAGAAAAACAATTTTTTTTAAGCTGAGAAAGGGGACCAGTTCTAGTGGGAGAAAAACACATCTGTGAGAAAGAGCCAAGACATACAGTCTAAGAAGAAAACAGCTCCACCCAGCAGGAAACCCAATCGACTTTAAGAAATCCCTCAGAAAAGATAGAAGACTTATTGTGTCATCTTAACTTAGGTGGCAAGGTGTAGGGACTGAAGTTTCCTCTCCCACTGATGTTCATATTCTTGGTGACTAAATTCACTGAATTTATTTATATTTGCAGCTTGTAACTTGATGACTCAGAGATCTTTATGACTTCATTTTCATTGAGTGGCAATAGCATTGAGAGCAATTTGAAGAATGTTAGCTGTGGTTAGATTGAGTTTATGATAACAAAAGCAATCTGCATATTTAAGCCCAGACTGGTGAAAAGTAAAAATTTAGCAGGGCTCTCTTAGCATTGTGAAGCAAAGATTATCTTTTTATTTAGGAGCTAGAGTTGTTTTACATTTGCTGATTGCTTTGAGAAAGCATTAAGATTCTACAGAAATTTCGACAACAGTCACGAATATGGGGAAGAAATCATTGAGTGAGAAGTCATAAGGATGGATAAGAGACTTTGAAGTGAAAAGTCATGTATCTGAATGGGGATCCCTCTTTACTTACTGCTACTTTTTGAATCACATGACAGGTTTATTTCTTATCCTGTCATCTGTCCCCTCAGCAATCCAAGGGTTCTTGTGTGTTCTCAGATGAGGACATATAAGCGATCCTTTTCTTTTCGGGATAGCGTTATTTTGCCATTCTGAATTGTTACTGGACTCATAGAATAACTTCGATAATGTCTTAAATTTTCTAAGAAATAGACTTTTTATTTTTTAGAAAGTATTATCAAGCTATGTTGTCCTGGAAGCTTTCACCATATCTGTTATGAAGGGTATTTACATCACTAATATCATCTATTTGGTGCAGTCTTCCTTAGTCTTCTTTTCATTCATGACCTGTACCTGACCTATATCTGACTATTAGCGGCTAATTATATTTCACAGGATGGAGGATCTAAATTAGAAACAAAAGGACATAGTGGTTGAAAACCACCAAGGTCACATAAGGGATGATGACAGTTAATGATAAGATCAAGGATGTAGCAGGGAACTTAGTCACAGGAAGTTAAAGGAAGTAGGTGGCTGTTGTGGGAAGAGAGGGGAAGTTATAGATCAAGGAACACTAATAAAAATAAAAGACAAAGCTCATATGAGTTGTCTATATGGAGAACAAAGAGAAAAATGTTTCCTATTTGTTTGATTAGAATAATAGTGTATAAGAAAGGATGTGCTAACTAGAGGACAAAGGAGAATACCTAACCATTCAATGTGAGATATTCTTTGAAAGTCACCCCATTTTTTTCATTTTCATGTCATTTTTTGGAATTTAATTTCAGTAAACCATTGTGAGTCAGATAGCCTTTAATTTGCACTTTGCAGGAACTTAAGTGCATAGTTAAGTTCCTATGACTGTGGGAGGCTACAGAGGCCACAGTCATAGATGCATATTTTAGTATTTTAATCTTTCTGTGGTACCAAGGAATGATCAACTCCAGATCTTTTGCATTTAATTCATGCACTTTGCAACTGAGCCACATCCTGATCCTATATTCCATTTTCATAAAGTTTTGTCTTTTTTCCTCCATTGTTTTTGAAGTGTCATTTTCTAAAACGGAATTTTCCTTAGATAATTACTACATTAGCCATTTATATATTATTAAGCTTATTAAAATTCATTGGCAAAGAGTTAACTTTACTGTAATGCTTTATTATGAAACGTATGATAACATGATTTTTCCTGATAAGTAGAAAACGGCATTTTTTAATTATCATTGAATTGACCAGTGAAGCCATAAAATTGAATTTTAACAAATTCTTGGAAATAATAATCAGTCTCAAGAAGATGAGTTTTTCAGGTTCTTTATTCTTTAATTACAAAAAACACATAGCTAAATGAGTTAGTTAAATATGAACTTTATTGGCAGACTGAAATACACAATTTTTTTTAAATAGCCAAAATCGCTACTTCTTTCCTTCCTCCTCCCTATAACTCTGGAGCCAACAATGATCTGAGCATTCACCCTTTAAACCGTTGCATTCCACTTGTTTTAAATACCACATATAAATGATATTTTATAGTGTTTATAGAAGGAGGTGGGGCAGAGGGAACCAGGGAGAAGAGAAAGATGCAAAGCAACCAAAGGCAAAGATCAAAGGGATTCAGGTACATGTGTGGTGTTAAGGATTGATAGAGCTAAATATCTAAACTACAGAGTCAAGGGCACTGAAATTCTGAGACCCAAATTTTAATAGGCAAACTTAAAGTTTGGCAGGCTGGTGGTGAGGGAAGATATTGGAAGGAACCAAGGAACTTCATTGGTGGAGGAAAATTAACACTGGTGGTGGTGGTGGTAGAATCAGTGCTGGAACATTGTGTGTCTAAAACTCAACTGTAAATAATTTTGTAAATCACAATGCTTTATATTTATATGTATATTTGTTTATAGCACTATAGCACTTTCCTCCCATTGTTCACAGATTTGCTTGAGCGGACACCAGTAATGTCTCCATTGTGAGACTTATTGTTACTGTTTGGCATATTGAATACGCCACAGGGAGCTTGCCAGGCTCCGTTGAGCAGGCGGGATACTCACGATAGCTTGTCAGACTCTCTGAGAGGGGCAGAAGAATTGAACCCAGGTCGGCCATGTGCAAGGCAAACACCCTACCTGCTGTGGTACCGCTCCAGCCCATTTGTTTATAAAAAAAAAAACATATTTTATCACCCCAAACAAAAAGATGGCCAAAATCACTATACAAACTTCAAAGTAAGCTTACCCATTGGCAGAATTAAAATTAGACATCAGCTATAGATTGTTCATCAGTTTCAAAATAAAATAATCAATGGATTTGGTAGGGGTTAGCAAATTTCTTAATCTCCTGACTTCAGGATACTTGAAAATTTGTAATGGATTTCTTTAGGGGGAAGAGAGCCTCCCAGGCTCTCTTCAGACATGTAGGCCTCTCTGAATAACATGCAGCTTGACTGTGCAGATGGATGTCTTGTGCTTGGCCACAGTGATGTGATCTAGTCCATACCCAGTGATGCTAAGAGCTACCAAAGCTCTATCTGACAGTGCTGGGTGATAGAGCGGTTAGGTGGGCATGGGAGTTGATGGTTATGAGTCACAAAATGCTAAGAACTAAATTAAGGACTTCCTGTCATTTGAGCCAACTTCCTGGCCCCTATAATAAACTTTAATATGGCATTTGAATAATGTTTTTTAACTTTTGCAGGTGGATCTCCTGGTTCCTACCAAAGTGACTGGCATTATTACACAAGGAGCTAAAGATTTTGGTCATGTACAGTTTGTAGGCTCCTACAAACTAGCTTATAGCAATGATGGAGAACACTGGACTGTATACCAGGATGAAAAACAAAGAAAAGATAAGGTGAGTTATTCTGGTGACTTACAATATCCAGAAGTAGATGCTTAAATTATATTCAAGTCTGATTGAGATTCACAAATAATTATTTAAGATATGACCATATAATACTCAGCTTATAGTTTATAAAACAAGCTTGAATAATTTATCAATTACATGTATATACTTTTGAATACATGCCACTGTTATTTTTATTATTATACTATATTGCTGGTAAAGGTAAAATGTCCTTTAGGGAAAAAAAGACCTTCCAAACTTTAGATAACATATTTTTATACTTTTGGCATTTTTCTGATTATTTTGACAATTTAGTAATCAACAAAATTTGGACAATTCTACCAGTTAATTATATTTAAAAATAGGGTATGTGTCTGCTTAGTTTCCTTGATTTGTTTTAGTTAAGATTTAATTTCTGTAGTTGTGTAATCTGTTATAATATTACAGTAATTCATGTATCTAATGCGCTATAAAATTCTATGGCGTTGCATTTCATAATAGTTTTTCTAAAAGTCTTGCTATTTTGAACATTTTCCATACTATTTACTTTAAAGGGTTTCTATGGAATCTTGAAGAATTAATGCTCAGATGTTAAAACATGGCATCAGTTGGATTAATGAGATGAAAATTATGGCATCATTTAGAACCTTTTTGCAGAGAAGCCCAGTTTTTAGAAAGCACCAATAGAAACAAAATAACTTTATTCATGATTTATGAAAAAACAATTATTATTAACAAATAATGAAGTTGAGAATATTGTTGGGGGCATTAGGGACTATACCTGGTGATGTTCAGTGTTTACCCCTGACTCTTTAATAGAATTGCGGACGATAGAACCAGGGTTGGCTGCATACAAGGCTGCAGTTTATCTGCTGGACTATCTCTCTGGCTCAAGGGCATTTTTTTATTTTCAGTAGCCGAGGCAGAGAATTAGTAATTTTTCTCAGAAATACTTAGGTGGAATAACTATTTCAGAGACAACTGAGACATTTCTGTTTACACAAAATTTAATTCAGGGAAGTTGTATTTTTGGTTTGGACTATAGAAGTCATTCCACTTTGTCTTTTAATGTCTTTGGCATATCAGAGCATCCTATATTCCTGGCTCTGAGCTTTGGGATCACTCATACTGGTGCTCCTAGGACCATATTGGGGTTCTAGAGATCAAACTTAGTTGGCAACAATCAAGGCAAGCACCTCCTATCTAACCCATTCAATCTCACTCCAACCTCTGCTTTTCAGCTGGAACCTTTAAACCATTTTATTTTCTACAAACATTGATGTGACTGTGTTTATAAGTATCTTCCTTTTTTCTGCTTATTGCATCTTTTATTTTAACAACATTTTTCTACTTTCTTTGGATTAAGATGTTTCTTTAAAACTAACATTTTGTTTCCATGTTTCTATAACATTTTCTCTAATTTTAGAAATTTCTACATGATTTAATGTATACATACATTTTAAACTTAACAGTTTTACTATCAAATTAATTTAGAATCCTAAAAATTTACCTCACATCAAGAAACAAAAGAGTATGCTTATAGATCCATTATTAGGAGTCATATTTATTCAAAGTCATGATTTTGACATTTCTCAAATAAGTAAAGTTATGACAAAGAAATAAAAAGAATCCCACTATGTAAATTGGAAAATTATGAAGGTAAATGGACAAATCATGAAAAAATGTTGTGAGCCAGAATTCCCAGGTGAGACAATAAGTCAGAGTCTCTCCAATCCAATTAAAACATTTTTGTATTAATGTTATAAGCAGGACAACTGGTTTAATGTAGCAGATTTTTTAGTTGAGTAGTTTTTAGTTGAGAGTTGCGGACTGGGCATGAGACAATGTAGTTTCAGGTTTTGAATCTCTTCATTTCATATGAAAGATTATACTTTGACCCTATGAACAATCTTCCCAGCCTAGTTTTTAAATTTAACCAGTAATTTTATATAATTACTAATTTTATATAATGAAGAGAATCCTTAAATAATTCCACTATTTTTTGGTGAAAGTATTAACTCAAACCAACAAACTATCTAAATATTATAGCAGGCTTTATTTTAATAAATACATATTTTATAGAAAAGAAAGAACTGTAGGGCATAAACTTCTCCAGTCCTACAAAGAAGAGAATTTTCTAAAATGAAGGAAAAATATATTAAATACTTGGAAACACAGAACTTATGCTGTCATATGTATTCATAAAATATATAAAATACCTATAAACATACATAAGCATACATACAAAGCAATCAAATATCTTCACTATTGTTACTAGGAATTTACTAATAATTCATCTAGCACTTACATGTGGACTTTAATTCTTTAGAGATCCTGAATAACTTAGCAATTAGTTTTTCTGAGCTCAGTAAAAAAGCTTACATTGATTCTTAATACTATTTTCTTCATGGTTGTTTTCCATTAAGGAATAAATATTTAAGTGAAGTGAAAATATACTGCAAGTTTCATCTCAAGTATAAATGAGTAGAATGTTTCAAGGCAAAATATGGGTCTGTGAAGCATATCATGTAAGCACACTATAAAAGAAGTTTTTACAAGCACAACATTCTATTTCCGGTGTGTGTGTGTGTGTGTGTGTGTGTGTGTGTGTGTGTCTATGGGGGGCAGGGGATCTTCACGTGCACGTGCAAATATGCACATATGTACCTTTCTACTTTTATTGAATACTGATCTAATAGATTCCCGGGTCTGGGTGTGTACATTTAATACAAATCCCAAAACAAGATTACTTCAGAAAAACTATTTCAGCATAATAACCACTTCTTAGGTTTTCTATTAGTAGTATAAATAAAATTTTGAGAGCATATAAAAGCAGTTTCTGTTTTTCATTAGTCATAATTGACTAAACATTAAGAAACCAATGCCAAAGAAAAATTATATATTTTCATAGGTGTGTTCAAATATCTCTATAAATGTATGTACTCACCAAATGTCAAAATAAAATAGACATTTGTTCTTCTCATTCAGATGTTTCTCAGTATATTCCTAGAATGTTTATAAGAATTATTTACTTTATTAATTTTTATAAAATTTAGCTTTCAGTCTAATATAGTAAATTTGATGAAACATTTTAATTATAATCTTTTTATTTTTGTCTTCTAGTCCACCATGTTTTAACATTAAATCAACTTTTCTATTTCTCAACACTATGAGTTTAAGTGTATATTTTATTTGAACATCAAATGTTCCTTTGCACTCATGAAAGTGACATTTGTTTTATACTCTTGGAGGTGCTTTATACTACAGTTAGCAGGAAAATTGCAAAAATTGACAGACACTTTCAGTATTTAATTCTAAAGACTATAAACCAAAGTAAAATAATCATAAATTTTAGGAAGAGTACTTATATGGAAAAATTAGAAATTAAAATGAGTTTTTTCGTCTAATATATTAGTCATAATGTCATGGTATTTAAATAAAGTTAAATTCACATCATGCAGGCATGTCTCTTTGAAGAAAAAGAAACTGGTCATATTTTGTTTTATTTCACTCCAGGAAATTATCCAGTTCTTTTAAAGCATGGGTTAAAAGAAAATTACAACTTTGCTCTGGGTTTTCCATAAAATAAAGTACAAAACCCTGTCTTCAAGAAATTTTTGGTCCTTAGAAGTGAATGCCACATACACATCAGAAATTATTCTACAACATTTGATGAGCTTTCTAATTCAATGATTGCAAAAAATGATGGTCTAGTCATACCGCTTATAGAGATGGAGGACTTACTTGGAAATACAGATTTTGGGGGGTGGCCTGGCGCTTTAAATGTTTGCAGAGGCCTTAGTTAATTTGAAAGTTAAGCAAGAATGGAAAAGGTGACTCTAATTTATTCCAAAACCAACATTAAGCTTTTTAAACTAAATATTATTTCTTAATAAAAAGGTGCTCTTTACTTGTCTCATGTATGTGGGGGGGTGGGAGGAGGTATGTTCTGATAGCTCCTGCCTTTATTTTATTTGCATCCAGTATTATTTTTATTTCTTTTTTACTTCCTCTTTGACCCTCTGGTTGTTCAGTAATGTGTTGTTCAATCTTCAAGTATTTGAATTTTACTCAGCTCTTTGTTCATGGTTTGTTTTGAACATTGAAGTGTTATGATCTGACAGGATACTTGATAATATTTCTGGTTTTGTTTTTAAATTAAGACTTGTTTTGTATCCCAGCATATGGTCTAGCCAAGAGAATGATACATAATCACTGGGAAAAAAATGTGCATTTGGGGTATGAAGAGTACTGGAGATATTAGTTAAGTCAACCTCTTCCAATTTTTCCTGTTAGATTTCATTTCCTTACTGGTTGATAGATCTATTGTGAGAGTGTGTTATTAAAATCTCCTTTTTTTCAGGCTTCCTCATAGTAGTTTTACATGTTTTGATTATGTATTCTGATGATCCTTCATTTGATACATATATGTCTACAATTTTAAGTCTTCTTGGTGTGTAGATCCTTTGATCAATATATAATTTCCATCTATATTGTCTTTTCACATTGAAACCAAATTTTTCTGATATATATGGCCAAATGCTCCTTTGATTTAGCATACTATAAGTCTCTATAATTTTTCCAGTCTTTTTCTTTGAGCCTGTGTTTATGTAACATTTAAATTGAATATCTTATAAGCAGTAAAAGGTTCAATTCAGTTTTTTCTTACATCCAGATACTGTACAATTTGATTGATGAGATTAGACAATTGATATTGAATGTATTATTTAAGGAAATGAAATTAATGCCATTTTTATCCTATGTGTTATTTAGCCTTTCTTCTTCCTTCCTTCCTTCCTTCCTTCATTACTTCTTTTTCTATTTTTTTACCACACCTGGACATTCTCAGGGTTTCTTCCCAGCTCTGCTCAGTAATCACACCTGATGGTGCTCAAGGGACCATATGGGTTGCCAAAGATCCAATCTAGGTTGGGTATATACAAATCAATCACCTTACCCAGAGTATTAAATCTCCAGCCCCAGTAGTATTTATTTCTTTGAATATATAT